AACACTGCAACTCCAAACTAGTTGCTAACTTCAATGTGGTCTTCAAGGGCAGGGGATAGGTTTCCAATTCACCCGCCCGAGTGTTTGATTGCTGAACGAAAGTTGTGTTTTTACTATTTTTCTTTGTTCACATTTTGTTTTGTTTTTTTGACACTGCACCCCCCTCCCTTGTGGTTGTAAGCCGCCCTGAGTCCCCTCAGGGAAAAGGGCGGCCTATAAATCCCAATAAACTCAAACTCAAACTCAAACTCCTGTTGGGGAGAACGTGTTGAGTTCCCCTAATGTGTTGGACTACCCATCCCATAATTTCATGGGAAAGGATCAATTCCTGTGCCAAGAATCGGGCATATGAGATGGTTGGTGAAAACGCCAGGGTCCTCCTCATTTACCGCCATGGGGCCTCTGATGGATCCATGTTTCCTACTCACCAGCAGTGCCAAGGCGATAGTCATGAGAACCGCACACAGGGCCATCCCCATGAGTCCAATGAGGTGCAGCGTCCTTCGGCCGGCCCGTTCTACCACAAACAGCTTCAGAGAGAGAAAGAGAGAGGGAGGGAGGGAGGGAGAACAAGAGAAATACATCAGCATGGAATCCATGGAAGATCTCCTCAGAATCATCAAAGAGCTTTGGGGAGACCACGCAGAGGAGTTAGAAGTGAGCCGTTGACCTTGCCATGTACGAAGCAACTTTGAGGAAGTGGCTGTTGATTCAGGTTGACATTTACTCATCAGTTATGTTCTGTGGAATTAGCACACCTCTGCAGAACACCTGGGCCATCTGACTGAAGAAGCTTCTTGGATGAGAAGCAAAGCGTCTTCAAAGTCCAGTTGACTTTTGAAAAAGCACCTTTGGGGCAACCATCGACTGGTTGACTGAGACTTTCCACTGACATCTGAACGATCTCATGTGGGTTCTGAAGACTGCCACGCTCCCTGCTCCAAATGAACCCCCCCCCAAGAGAGAGGCCCCCCCGTGGCCATTTAGGAACACCACTCAGAATACTGCAGCAGACTTGGGAGAGGTGCACCTCATTAGGGAATGTGATTTGTGACACAGAGTGAGGAGAGGGAAGGAACGGGTAAAGTTAGCTATAACTCAAACAAAGCTCAGATCTGACTGCGAAAAGGCCTTGCCTGGTGGTGCCCCTAATAAATGACTAGTTTTGTATTGAAACTTGGCTCGATACTCATGAATCAATTAGGGCGTTTTTAGGAAACCTGACAACACCTATTACAACACCTATCGCTGTAGCCCCTTCCTCCTGTTTCGCCCTACTCACCGAGACAACCGTGAAAGCTGTGTTGACCACTCCAGCCCCAATGGTGGCGTAGACGGGCTGCTGCACTCCGGCTCTTTCAAAGATATCCGTGGAGTAGTAGAAGACCTTGGAGAAGGGAGAGAAGGAGAAGAAGAAGAAGGTCAATACAATATAAGAGAGTGGCATTGTGGGGTGTTGGTAGAGCAACAATGCTGTCTAGATGCAACAAGGAACATGCTCTCCTACTCAACGGGGTAGTGGGACCTCAGAACCAGGCCAACATTTCACCGCAACTTCTCTCCCGACCCATATTTACCGCGTTGATCCCCGAAAGTTGCTGAGAGAGCTGCAGTACGACGGCGATCAAGAGGGGCTGTCGGTAGAGAGGAGAACGGAAGAGCTCCAGGATGGTGACCTTCTTCTCCTGCAGCATCTGCCGGCCCTCCTCTTTCATCTCCTGAAGGTCCCTGCTGACGTCGGTTGTCCCACGGAGCTTCTTTAGGACTGGAGAGGAAAATGGGAGATTCGTAAGCCAGGCTTGCAACTCAACAGTTGGACCCCTGGTCCTCCAAATGCGGCTTCCTCTCCCCTCCCCCCAGCTGGGAAGGAACCTTTGGTGGTGGGTGGGATCCAGGCTAAGGAAGGCGGCCTTGATGGAGACACACTGGAACCCAAAGGGGGCATTTTTAAAGACCAGAAGAGCCAAACAATGTTCAGAATTAGACGCCTCCCTAATTCACCGGAGTATGGAGAGGGGAAGGAGGGGAAACACAACCGGACTTACACATTTTGGTTACGTGGCAGCTAATCTCAATTAAGTCACTTTTAGCCTTCCTGCTGGAGTTGATTTCCTAATCTGGTCTACTTGGTGGGACTCAGAAGTTCTCTCAACTGTGTTCCTAGTCTTTCTCTATTTCTGACTCTGCTCCATCTGGACTTCAGAGGTTGTGGCTGGGGGGCGGGGGGATTTAAGAAGAGATTGGAAAACCGTTTGTCTGAAATGGCAGAGGGTTTCCTGCTTGAGCAGAGGGTCGGCAACCTTAAACACTCAAAGAGCCACAAAAGTCCTAACCGGAGCCCCCCTCTTCAGTTTCTGGAGCCAACTGGGAATCTGGTTCCCCCACCACAGAGTCAGCAATAGCAATAGCAGTAGACTTATATACCGCTTCATAGGCCTTTCAGCCCTCTCTAAGCGGTTTACAGAGA